CATATAAATATACTTAACCTATCTTAGTTTTAAAGAACAAATAAGAGAAGACAGTATACGTGTGCAGTTTACTATTCACTTTTAATGTCTTTGCTATTCTTTGCTAGACCATAAAAGTATATGACTTATCTATTTATACATGACTTATATGTACATTTTTACAGCTTCTATCTCGATAAGAAAAGAATAAAAGTCCATACAGGAAGTCCTTGACTTACAGTATGACCGGTCTTTTAGCAAACTTTCAAAGCTACAATGGACCTTCCCAGGGTGATTTATAATCCAGAATACAAATTCCAATGGCTGCCCCTCCCCAATCCCATGATCTCATTTCGGGTGTTTTGGCAATTGGGCCAACATCTACAGCTGCTTGCGTGAAATATGTGATTCTGTATTTATGACTTTTTTTTGCTGGAAACCAACATTTACTTCCACTTTCTGGCAAACAGTATCCATTGATTCGTGGCACGACAAAACCGCGGTCCACTAAAGCGCGCCCGATTAAAGCGCGTACCTGACGTCATCAGCAGCGCGACAAATACGACCGCGGAGAAAAAAGGGCGCTTTAAAAAGCGCTTTTAAAGCAAGCCGATTTACATAAAGGTAAGGGTTAGGGTTAGGGTTAGGGTTAGGGTTAGGGTAAGGGTTAGGGTTAGGGTTAGGTTAAGGGTTAGGCTTAGGGTTAGGTTTAGGGTTAGGTTTGGGGGGGTTAGGTTTAGATTTACGCGTTAATTTTAAGTTTACCGCTCACAGCGTGCTGTTTTCGTCGCGCTGTGATGATGTCACGTACGCGCTTTTGTCCAGCGCGCTTTAGTCTACCGCGGTTTTGTGGTGGAACCTTTCACCAAGCCGCATCTTTTCATCCTTGGCAAACATGTCTGCGATAAAAGGCTATGAATCTGAAACCAAAACAAAAACTCTGCGTCTAGAAACATAGAGGCTTCATATGAAAGCATGTATAAATAAATCCAGTGTCAGTCAAAGCATCCTTTCCCAAGTCACAAAGTACAAATTTTAGATGGCTTTCTTTCCTTTCGATGATTAGGCATTTGTATGAGAAACAGATCTTGGAATAACAATGCTTTTAAGAGTGTGTTTGTGTGTCTGAATGTATTTGCGTGCCACTAAACACCGCAGTGTTGTGGGTTTTTTTAAGAGCAAGATTGTTCGAACGCGTCAACTTGAGAACCTCAAGTCCCAGAATTCCCCAGGAATTTATATTATTATGCTCAGTAGAAGCTAACAGGAAAGGCTAAATGGCAACCGGATTATCAACAGCCTTGGGTAATTAAGAGAGTAAGGCTAGAACCTCCAGTGCTAGGCGCAGTCTATGAAGAAGAGAGTTGCCTTAAGTTTAAAAGAAGTCTTTCTCAACCTTGGGAACTTGGATGAGCCGGCTGGGGAATTCTGAGAGTCAATGTCCCTACACATCTTCAAGGTTGAGAAATACAGCTTAAAGCCTCCCGCTCCAGGGGAAGTCTATCTGCAACAATTTACCCCCGCCACTGCCCTGCACCCCTTTGCTTGTGAAAACTCACAGGGAGGCTGTGGATGCCAAAGATGGAAAACCAGGATTACTTATTGTATTTTAACCCCAAATGTATGTTTGGACCCCAACAACAGCAACAACAACCTTGTGAGGTGGGCTAAACTGAAAAAAGGGTCAAAGAACCAAAGATATCCATCTGCCTTTCATGGAGGAACTTAAACTCATTGACAAGTTTCTTGTTCAAAACAAGGTGCCTGATTCCTTTAGGGGCCGTCCTGTTTGATTCGCTCCCCGCTTTCCTCTTTCAGCTTTACTCCCCACGCGGCTAGTCCTCAACGTCCCGTCTCCTCTGCTCGGCTCCGCCTCCGAAGAGCCACCAAAGGTTCGGTTAAAAGAAGCATTTGGGGGGGGGGGAGGCCACACCTCTCGCCTCTCCTCATTGGATCTGGCGCGCCGGCCCCGCCAAATGATTGGCTGCGGACTCCGCCCAGCGCCTGCCCATCCCTCTTTCTCGCCCCCCCCCCGCCCCTCAGGAGGAGGGAGGGAGAAGGGAAAACCTGGGGAATTTTTCTGCAGGACGCGCCGGATCGGAATCACACTCGCTCGGGTGGCTGGCCAGGTTCTCACGACGCTGTTTCGGATGCGGATCTTTCCTCTTTTCCTCCTCTGTATCCGGATTAGAGCTTTTTCCAAGGACGGAACCAGCTCTGCCTGGCAGTAGCATCCTCCCCATTATCATATTTTCTCTCTCTTTCCTTTTTAAAAGATTTTTTTTTTAAAAAACCGGGCTCCCTTTCTTCTCACCACTACGTCCCTCTGTGATGCCTTCCCGGCCGGGAGAAATTTGCCTAGGGTCGTGGGACAGCTGCCTAGCCCACCTTTCAAGGCGCTAGGCAGCATTGAGGACATGACCCTTCGGTTTTTCTACGATTGGTTATTGTTTCAAGCGAAAGGAAAATAGCGTTCTCCTTCCGTGGACTTCTGCACCCAAAATCCCCGTTTTTTTTTTTTCTCCTCCTCCTTTCGCTCCTGCCTCGATCGGGTCTTTAGCGCAAGCCTCCCTTTTGGGTTTTAAAAAGAAAGATTTTTCGGGGTGCCCCCCTCCCCATTTTTGAAAAAGAAATCCCCGCCTTCCCAGATCGACTTGCGCCCCACTGATTTCACCTTCCTGAAGGTTGAAGCCGGCGGCCAGATCCCGCGCGTGGCGTGGCCAGGAGGATCTCCGGGACTGCAATGGTAAGCCCCCCTCCCCATCTTTAAATCCCCCTCCCCTTAATCGTTCACTTCTGCAGGGCTAAGTGCAGGGGAGCCTTGGACGCGGGTGGAGGCGATCCGGAGAAAACGCGGTGTGCCACAGTTTGGGTAGAGAACAAAAGGTGGGGTAGCTGAAAAGAGAGGGTGGGCGAAGGGGAGGGGGTCGCAAGTCGCCCGGTGGTGCAGCGGGACCTTGGCGTGAAGCCGGCAGGGGTTTCTTCGGTGGCGTGGAATTCTTCCGCGGGGATTGCCCGCCCGCGGGAGAGGCGCAAGGTTCACCTTCCCGCAGCGCGAAAGAAACGACTGAGAATCTCGCTCTGGCTCTCTCCTTGTCTTTCTCTTTCTCTCTCTCTCCATCATTCTCTCCCTTTCCCCCCTTCTCTCTCCATCTCTCTCACCTCTGTCTATCCGTCTACCTCTCTCTCTCTCTCTCTTCTCTCTCTCCATTCTCTCTCCTTTCTCCTTTCTCATCTATCTTCATGTTCTTTCCCTTCCCATCCATCTATATAATTATTTCTCTCATCTATCTATCTATCTATCTATCTATCTATCTATCTATCTATCTATCTATCTATCTATCTATCTATCTATCTATCTATCTATCTATCNCTACCTACCTACCTACCTACCTACCTACCTACCTACCTACCTACCTACCTATCTCTTCTATCCATCCATCTTTCCATTTTTCTATCCTTTATCCCACTCTCTTCTATCTATCCACTATCTCTCTCCATCTCTCCTCTAGCCTTCTCTCTCTCTCTCTCCCTCTGTGTGTGTGTGTGTGTGTGTGTGTCTATATCTATCTATCTATCTATCTATCTATCTATCTATCTATCTATCTATCTATCTATCTATCATTTCATCATGCATGCATTGGGGTGAATACACGAGAGGAGAAATGGGTGGAAAGAGGGAGGGAGGGAGGGAGGGAGGGAGCACTACTGAATTTGCACGACCCGTCTGTGTTGGTATGTATCTCACGTCTCCTATCGGCTCAACATAGCTGGTGAATAGTCCCCTCCGCACCCACCCAGTCCCCAGCCCCTCTTCACACCGCAGATACCCCAATCCACAAAGCCATTTAGCCTGAGACCTGGCAGGCTCGCAACTCAGGGTGTGTGTATGGAAAGTGGTTGTGTGAAAGGGGAGTCCAGACCCCGGTTCAAATGGAATACAAGGGATTCTCTGCTAGATTAAAACGGGAGTCCGGTCACCTTCTGTGGCCCCCTCCCAGTTGCTGAATTAACCTGCTTTTCTCAGTTTGCAGGAGGCACTGAGATAATAAACGAGCATCTTGTCATTGCTGGCCAAAAACAAAACATGTTGACGGAAACTCCGATTATTTTGCAAGCATTTTTTACCTAACCTGATTAATAAACCTTGTCAGGTTGTGTGAATTATGCATTAAAAGCGTAATGAAGGTTTAGGCTGTTTGGACACCGGATGTGAGGCAGATGGAAACATCGTCTTGAATTAACCTGGTTTAGCGTGTCCCCCCCCCCCTGTATGCACATGCTTGTTCCTTTGCATTTAAAGAGGACCCAAGGTGACAAAAACACACGAATGAAATCGGAATTTAATTGCAGTGATAGACCAGCATAGCAAGGATGGGATGCCACCAGTTAGTAATGTTGAAAGCTAAAAAAATAAATAAATAAAGACGCAACATACAGAAAGTTTAAAGTACAAACTCCAGAAAGGGATACGTGAATATATTTAAAGGCAAAACAATCAACGTAAGGAGGAAGGAAGGAAGGAAGGAAGGAAGGAAGGAAGGAAGGAAGGAAGGAAGGAAGGAAGGAAGGAAAAGAGTTTTACAAAGCAGAAATAAAATAAACGAGCAACGAAACGAACAGTGAAAATGAAAACGATGAGAATGCACCCATATGATAACGAAACACAGGTAGTCCTCGACTTACGACCATCCCTTTAGAGACCGTTCGAAGTCAAGACAGCACTGAAAAAAGCGACTTATGAAAAGCTACTTATGTGAAATGATCTCACATGATTTGCAATCGAGACACCACACTCCCATGGCTTCGTCATCGAAATTCAGTCGCTTGTCAACTGACTCGTATTTATGACGGTTACAGCATCCGGGTGTGTGTGTGTCACTTGGCCCCCTTCTGAGTAGCCAGGTCAATGGGGAAGCCAGATTCATTTAACAGCCGTGTTACCGGCTTAACAACCGCAGTGATTCGCTTAACAACCGTGGCCAAAAAAATGGTGGTAAAACAGGTCAAAACTCACTTTTTGTCCTGTTTGACATGTCTCGCTTAGCGACAGAGATGTTGGCCTCCATTGTGGTTGTACGTTGAGGACTACCTGCATGCAGCTAACTGAATCGATCCTAGTTGGAAAACGAAGTCAAACACACTTAGCTACAGACAGATGGAACCCTTGAAATGCCAAGAAATAAAATTTTATATTAATATTATATTTTATATTAAACATACACGGGGACACCGAGACAAAACAAGAATCGATAACTCTTGGAATAAAGTGATTTTTTTTCAACATCAAGAGGCCATTTTACACTTTTATCTCCCTCTTTTAACCGATTCAGTCAAAAAAAGGGAGTATTTCCCCCCCTTTTCTGCTGTTTTCTATGAGCAGCTGGACTTATTCATGGTGCTTGGCAGAGAGAGAAAATAGCCGTTTTCTGTGCCTGCTAAAAATACACAATGCAAAGAAGGAATTGAGTCTTTGCGGCGAAGTTAAAAGACGCTTTGATTTGCACCTGTGGCCAAATGCTTAAATGCAGGTGTTTCCTCACCTCTGGATGAGGAGAGGGTGCAATACACAAAATAGTCCTTGGCTTATGACCGCAAAAATCAAAGTTAGATTAGTTCTGCCCCGTTTTACGATCTTTCTTGCCATCGTCGTTAAGTGAATCACTGCCGTTGTTACTTAAGTAACGCCGTTGTTAAGTGAATCTGGCTTCCTCCATCGACGTTGCTTGTCGGAAGTTGCGACACTACCCACCCCTGGGACGCTGTATCCGTCATAAACTGTGAAGATCCATCATTAAGTCGTAAATTAAGAAATACCTATAGGTGCCTATATCAGTAGTCGTCAACGTACTAGTGAAACTGAGCCCAAAATTTCAGTTGCTGAGCAAGACAGCCACTAAATGAACTTTTCCCCGTTTTACGACCTATCTTCCCACAGTCGTTAAGTGAATCACTGCAGTTGTTAAGTGAATCTGGCTTCCCCATCGACTTTGCTTGTTGGAAAATCGCAAAAGGGGATCCCACGACCTCAGGACGCTGTAACCGTCATAAATACGAGTCAGTTTCCCACTGCCTGAATTTTGATTAGGTGCCCATGGGAATCCTGCAACGGTCGTAGGTGTGAAAAACGGTCGTAAGTCACTATTTTCAGGGCCATTGTACCACACAGTCACTAAATGAACCGACAAGTTGTGGATTGCCCGTGCAACAATTTTTTAAAAATAAAAATGAAGGAAACGGTTATAGGTGCTGACATGACGTTTACAAAAAAGAGGGAAATTAAATTTCGTCTTGGATCATAAGGAGGGGGGGGGTTTAAAATGAATTTCTTTTCTTCTTGTTTGATCCTACTTTTCCTTCAAAGTGGCACATACAGATAATCCTCAATTTACGACGGCAGTTAAACCCATTTCCTTTGCTAATGGTTAAATGAGTTCTGCTCCATTTTACAACTCTTCTGGTCAGCCAGGTACGTGAATCACTGCCGTTGTTAATTGAGTAGTTGAGTGACTCCAGCTTCCCCCGTTGACTTTGCTCGTCAGAAGGTCACAAAAGAGGATCATGTGGCCTCAGGACACGGCCACGGTCATAAATATGAGTCAGTTGCCTAGCGTCCAAATTTCGATCCTGTGATTGTGATGCTCCCACTTACGCAAAGTGAAAAACGGCCGTAAGTCACTTTTTTCAGGGCCCTTGTAACAGCCACTAAATGAATGGTTGTAAAACGAGGAATACCTGTAGTGCGATTGCTGCTCCTATGTCTTCCCCCAGAATAACACCAGAGGTGGGTTGCTACCGGTTCGCACCGGTTCGTATGAACCAGTAGTGGAAATTGGGACTCGGTCACCGAACCAGTAGGGACGACAGGCTGGCCACGCCCCTGTACCAGTTCCCTGGATACCGCTGCTGTTGCTGGCTTGGTTTTTAATCATGTTTTCATGTTTTGTGCATGCACAGAACAATTTACACTCAACTGGGCATGCCAGTGGGAAGCAACCCCTGAATAACACCCGTGCGAGGTAGGCTAAAACTAGAGTAGAAAACCTGCATCTCCTTGCTAATACCATATTTTTCACAGTATAAGACGCACCTTTCTCCCCCCTAAAAGAGGGTAAAAATTTGGGTGGGTCTTATACACTGAATGTAGCCCTACCCACCCACCCTCTCCCACCCTTTGGCCTCTGCCTCTCAGCAATTGACCTCCTTGCAACAAAGGGGGAAAATGGGGCTTGCGGAGGCTGTAATAGGCTGTGGCAATCCCTGCAGCCTGAAACTGAAAGTGAAACTTGTTGTTTGCACCAGAGGCAAATTGCTGGGAAGCAGAGGCAGAATTTTTTTTCTTGTGCTAATCAGACTGTTTCCTGTTTGCTGCAAGGAGGTAAGTCAGTAACTATAAATGTTCAAATTGTTAGACTTATTTTTTAAAGACTGCTTTATTATCGTTCTAGACAGCTTAACAAAATGAAGAAGCTTTTTAAAATAAATGCTCAATCTGAAGAGAGGCCCAGTGCTATTGTATCTTCTTTCAAATAGCGGAGAATAATGTATACTTCCAGGAAAACCACATCTATTTTAACAGTATCTATACAAATATAGTCTGAAATGTAGCACTACAAAGTGTATATCGTCTGTACTGTTTGTTGCAAGGAGGCAAATTGCTAGGAGGAGGAGGCAGATTCCCCCCCCCCCGTTTTCCTCCCCAAAAGCTAGGTGCATCTTATACTTTGGAGCGTCTTATACTCCGAA